CTACATGACACGATTCTTTATGATTCGAGTTTTGGTACCACTTAACCTTTGTCGTCTACTCTGTTTAAGCAGGTCATATGCTCTTGTGCCGCGTTTCTGAGTTATAGCCCAGTTTCGCCGATGAAGTGCAACTTAGGCAATACACTACTATACGGTTACCATGTTGTGACAGTATCTCTCAGTTCTACAGAAGACCCATAGCTTTTGCGGGAAACGGCAGATTCTCTTAACGCCATATCTGTTCACAAACCGTTGTATCCTTACACTCAAATTCGTTTTACACCAGTACCTCATTCCGTTAGAAACATTTGCAGAAAACGCATCGTATACTTTGATTAGTACTGTAGGTACTTTAAAAACTGAATCAGTTAACTTAATCCCATCTCTATTTCAGCAAAGATGGATCTGACTGTCACATCAAATTTAAGATGACTTAAACGTGGATCATAAATCATGAATGATATGTACGTCTATCCGCGACGATTCTTAAAACAACACTGACAATGAGCAAAGTATTGTTCAAGGCACTAAAATGATGTGCATATGTACTGCTGGTCAACATTGAGTCGTGGCCCGCCTAAACATCCTCTTATGCGTTCAGAATCAAGGGTCTATAAGAACTTTACATCAAGGCACTCTCACCAAGACATAATGGAGGTCTGATGCTAACGGTGAGCTAGCGAAGCAGTTTCGCAAGATATTTGCACCATCGGTTTTGTTCGGTGCCCAAAGCTATGACAAATTGGCCAGAATTTCAACAAGAGGTACCAAATGAAAAACGTCAAATGGTACGCGCCCCGATTTTTAAATAGCCTGAAGCATGTGGAAAGGGAAGCAGCGATTGTTACGGACCGAGTAACTACAGAAACAGCCGTCTTCGTACACAAACATCATCAACAACATCCTAAACCTATGAGAAAGTCCACAACCGAAAATGTTACAGAAGTTTGTGCTTACTCGTGCAGGACCGATGATCATACATGTCCAACGTGACAACGTCATGTCTTCGTCATCTTCTAATCCCCATGAAATGGTCCCATCTCCTTTCCCTTTCTGGCCTTCTTCGAGTTCTTCGAGAAGTCGAAAATTTCGAGGGACTTCAACTAAAATGCAAGCATGTGAGAAACGAGGAACAGATTATGTGACAACAAATGTCATACCACTGCTACTCGACATAATCTTCTGCTAGCCTGTTCATTCACTTAATATCTAAACAAAAAATTGATATTTTGATAAAACAAAACTGTCATTTGCATTCTGTCTATTGGTACGCGTAAAATAAAGCATGTGCACAATTTCTGAATTTACTGGCTGATCGAAATCAGCACATTTCCAGAATGACCAGCAGGAAAAATTCTTTGCAGAGCTGGATAATAATGAAAAATCCATAAGGTCACGGTACTGAACTGATTCAGAATAGTTTCTTTTATTGCATAGAACGCAATGATTATTCATACTTCTTAAAGCTGTTGTTTCCATAATTCGGAAAGAATATTCTGGCGGTGAAAATGATTGTTATATCTGAAAATCAAAGCCCTCTGCAAGTCACTTGACTGACTTACTGGATGTAACAAAGGGTTACGCTACCCGCACCTCTTATTACCACTTGGCACTGTATTCCGTCATGTGTAATGTCGGATATGAGTTCAAGTCAATCCCTGTATCAGGCACGACTTGCAGAATCTCGATGAGTGCGAGCTCATACCGTCGTTTGCTATTCAGCCATGAAGTTTTCGACCTGCCTCAAGGCCTCTTCCATGAATAGGTTCGGCATAGTACGAATCATGATGCTGATCAGATGCTTACTGTTCCGTTTTTCAAATTCATCAGAGTATAAGTTGATAATAAACCATGTTCCACATGATTTACTTATGCTTGATATAATGTCCTTAAGCATGGGGCATTCGTGATCATTACCAAACAGTCCGTAGCCGATTATTCTTCGAAAAGAAAAGCGCATAATTTTCCTTTTTGGCAAGGGTCCATTTTACCATAGCGTACATCAGTACTGATCGAACCGCTGTCTAATATATACGGATATTTACTGAGCTACTGACAGCAGGTCTGCACAGATTTTACTGCAGGATGCTGCACCCACAGCTTATATCAATGGTGTTCATCGATCCAGTATGCAGAAGTTGGTGACATACAACAATCTTGCTCGTAAATTTCCATAGTGACATCCTCTGCGGCATATTGTGAATCAAGGGCTTTGCATTTCGATGTTTTCAAGCTCAGTCAGTACAAGCGGAAGGCTGCTTCTGTCGAAATCAATGTCCCGTAGATTTCTTCCGGTTCGTTGCAATTATCTTAATGTCGTTAACCTAATCCAGATTCCATAACCGACACCCCGATAGATGTAATATCACTTCGGAATGAAAATTTGTAACTGCCTCTGCAATCACGGCGTTGATAAAGTAATCGAAGAGCATCGGTCCTCCGACCGACATGATCGCACCCCCTATCAACAGAAAAGTTGTCTGAGACCGATAAAGATATTCGAATGACTGCCGTTATTGTGGTGCATATATTTCTCAAAATATTAATCACTCTTTGTAGCGCATCATCATCTCTTAACAACTGGTACAGTGTGCAAATATAACTGCACAAACGGGCTATTTCAAGAAATACAGCAAAACAGCTGAACTTATGCAGTAAAGTTACAACCGACATTTTGGACAACATCCGTTTACAACCGACTATCGATCGGCTTTTCCGATCTCTCAATGGAAACAGACGAAACTCGCAAAGATAACTAAAACGTCAAGCAAGTCGATTAACTGTTGTTATAGAGCTATCATCGTCACTTAAAGCAAACAGAGCTCAAGCAGCAGATTTAGAATGCCTGATCATTCAAAGTGGCACAAAAGTTGCGGCAAAAGTATCATTTTTCATCGCAAACACGTTTGGCTTAGAGAGGCGTTTTCCAAATTTTGTGTTGTCCTGCGACCGTCTGGGTCGATGGACGGTTCTAAGGCTAAAAATACCTTGAGTATATTTCCAATGTCTTTTTGTGTCATTTAACGAAACTAGGTAAGGAGTCGGTCTCTAATTTTCTTTCACAATCGCCTCAATACCTCGTCCGTACGACCTTCCCTACCTCCGGTGATCATTAGCACTTTCTCATTAATGATCCGGTGATATCATCGTATTTTAAATATAGTTATTAGCTAAACAAAGAAAGGTTTAGTGAAAGTATTCAGGACGAGTTTCATGGCATTTCAGAACAGCAAATGTTTCCATAGTGTACATGGGTAGCGCGAATAGGATTTCTTTCAGGACAATGTCCTTCGTTTTTGTTCTTATAGTTCGATCTTTACATATTTGATACAACATGCTGAAATTCGCTTATGAGAGTTCAAGATGCATGCCGTATGCTATCGCGAGCCAACACAGTTCTGAGGTATCTGTCATCGCGAAAAAAACTGTAATATTCAAGGTTTGTTACGCATCCGGTCGAGTATTTTGAACTGCGGCATTGATTAATGGTCAGTGACTGGCTGTCATTTGGAAAGACGTTTATCCGACTAACAAAGTTTGATATTTCGTTGAACAAAAGAGAACACCTTCTCAGGACGAATTCAGTATTTATATTAAACTACCTGAAAGTGACCCTTCAGCTAGGAGAAGCGGGAGGGGAGGGCTGAGATTTTGTACCCTCGTACAGATCCTCCATCAGGTTTATATTCGCCTGTGGAACTCCAGTGTCGAAAAACATGCCGTAGTGCCTAGGGATAAATGAATCGAAGAATATCGTCGAGTCCAGAAATGTAGCGTGCCGAGGCAATGAGGGCTTCTGCACAGCTCGGCTTTTGCTTTAGTACGAACATGTTGTATGTGCAGGAGTGCGCGATCCGAAAAGCTGATTGATTTGTTTGCAACGAACAGTGGATGTTTCATTCTGCCATTAAGGGATCATCCTTCTCCAACATAGAAAAAAGGGTGAATCTTCTATAGTGCAATCGGAAAGACTGCGGGCCATCAAAGTGTAGATGACAATGCCACCAGCCCTTGTGATCACCGACTTCCGCCGGGAAAATCGGATAGATCAAATTGAGATGACTTTGGCCGTTGCGCTTCAGAATTTCAGCCTTAGCTTCCCCGTGTTTAATTCAGTTGTGGCAGTCGCATCGTTTCTTGGACTCCGCTCATCCACTATCAACTGAACATTTAGCATTATTAAGCCACTGTTGAAATGCCAAGGCGATCGTTTTAACAACCCTATTCCTGTTACTGCTTAGCTGATTTTAGTCTTAATGGATTGGATTAAGAAGTCGCAACTGCGATGGTTCGGGCACGTATTCTTAACGTCTTCAAAAAGGTTAGAGAAGCAACTCATAGTTGACCAATCAACTGGCGAGAAACCCCGGAGAAATCAAGATTAACCTGAGGCAGTGTATCAAAGAGCTCTCCTCCAGGCTCCAGTTAATTTTATCGAAACTAAACACAGGCACAGGACGAAGAACATCGGAAGCACTGTCTGAGACGCGTTTACCTCCGTGACCCGAAAGAACAAGAGTTCATGGAAAATGATTGATTGATCGTTTTCGTCATTGCTATTCAAGTCATGAATGCTTTTTTTACAAGTTCACAACGTGCAAAGTTACAGCGTTATTCTATCATATACATTGTAATATGGCGAAGGACCGAGAGGCAA